CTAGGGCTGCACCTCCCCCTGCTGTCCCTATCTGAGGAGGGCCGGGGACACTGGAGACAGGTGGGGAGGGCAAGAAGTTGGATTCGGGGGGCTGTGGGGCACAATGGGAATAGGGGAAAATGACAGGGGGTGAAGTGTGCAGGGGAACAGGAGGAGATGGGGGGCTGACGGTGTGAGGAGTGCAAGGGAGTGCAGAAGGGCTGGGGCAAATGGGGGGCAGGTGGAGGGGTGCAGGGGGGTGGGGAGCTGTGGGGAATGGGGGAGGTGGGTGCAGGAGGGCCAGGGCGAATGGGGGGCAGGTGGAGGGGTGCAGGGGAGTGGGGAGCTGTGGAGAAGTGGGGTGCAGGGGGGCCGGGGCGAATGGGAGGCGGGAGGGGTGCAGGGAGAAAATGGGCATTGCGGGGGGGGGGGTCAGGGCCAGGAGCAGCCGGAAGTGGCAGCGGGGCCCCAGCAGAGGGGCGGGGGCTGCATTTACGGGCAGGGGCCGGGCTCCCCTGCAGGCCCCGGGGCCGGGCCAGCTCTGGGCCCGCCCCGGGGGAGGGTCCCGTGGGGCCGGCTATGGGGCACAGGGCGGAGTCCCCGGGGCTGGCGGCAGGAGGGTCCCGTGGGGCCGGAGTTGCAGCCCTGGGCGGGGGGTGAAGCTCCAGGTGGACCCCGCCCCGGACGGCGCTGGGGCTGCCCGGGGGTCGCTGAGCCCGGGCCCGCCGCGGAGCCTCCTGCTCACCCGGTAATTGCACCCGGCGGCGGAGCAGCTGGGGCTGGGCGCAGCGTGGGGGGTTGGGCCGGGGACCTGGGAGCCATTCGGGCTGGGCAGGCTGGGTAAAGCGTGGGGGGGACCTGGGTACAATGTTGGGGGGAGGCTGGGTGCAGTGCGGGGCTGGGTACAATGTTGGGGGGAGGCTGGGTGCAGTGGGGGGGTTCTGGGTGCAGAATGGGGGGATGGGCAGGCTGGGTGCAGCGGGGGGGTGTCTCGGTGTCTGTGGGCTAGGCATAGTGTGGGGGTTGGGTGCAGCATGGGGGGTTGGGCAGGGGCCCTGGGTGCAGTGTGGGGGGGTTGGGGGCGTGGTGTAGTGTGGGGGGCTCGGCAGGCTGGGTGCAGCATGGGGAGACTGGGGGGCGGGTGCAGGGTGTGGAGAGCTGGATGTTTGGGGCAGGTGCGGGGCTGGCACAGCGTGGGAGGGGGCTGGGTGTCTGGGGCAGAGGGGCTGGGTGCGGGGTAGGGGACTGGGCAGTCGGGAGGGGGTTGCTGAGTGTCTGGGGTGGTGATAGGGTCGGGTGGGTGTTGGAATATCAGAATGTTGGGGGGGCCTGGGTGGGTGGGTGGGAGTGTCTCTCTGGGGCTGGCTGGAGGTGGGGGGCTGTGTTTCTGGGGATGGGGCCTGGCTGGTTGGTTTCTCGGGGCCCGGTTGGGGGGCACCTTGGGCTCTGTCGCTGGGGGCGCTGGCCGCTCCAGTTCTTTTAGCTGCCAGGGCTGTTGGCTAGAGAGTGACCGAATGTTTCCCCAGCGACACAGACACCAGATCCAGGGGCAGCAAATGGGCAGAAGCACCCCCCCCCCCAAGCGCTCCCCCATTGACTGCCCTTCTCACCCTGGCAGGCTGCAGAGCCCACCCGGCTTACTCATGGCTGCGGCAGAGCCCTCTCGGGGAAGGGACTCTCAGCGAGCTGCGGGTGAGTCTGCCCCAGGGAGGGGGTGATGTGCCGGAGCCCTGCCTACTGGGGTGTGAGCCGCATAGGATGGATAAGGGGAGGGGGAATCCCTTGGGATGCTCAGTAGGGGGCACCCAGTGCAGCCCCCTCGGTGAGGGGCTGTTGGAATTGGCCTCCCGAGGGCTTCCCCTGGTGCAGCGAGAGCCTCCAGGCAATGACAGTCACCCTGGGGCTGTAGCTCCTAGGGAGTGTGACCTCCCCCAGACACAGGGTGGTGCCACCCTCCCATCCCCAGGAGGTCTCCCTGACCTCACCTCTTTGCTTCCTCCAGAAGGATGCTCTGTCCCCCTGCCGGACCCGGCGTCCTGGGTGGAAGGGGAGAACGTGTGGGTGCTGGAGCTGCAGCCCTACGGCGATCCCAGTGGTGAGTGAGCAGCAAGGTTCTTTGCCCTCGGTACTTGGCACTGGGGCGACCGCTGCTGGGTCCAGTTCTGGGGCCCACAGTTGAGGAAGGAGGTTGATGAATTGGAGAGGGGTCGGAGAAGAGCCACCAGACTGCGGAAAGGATAGAAAACCTGCCTTACAGCGATAGATCCCTGGAGCTCGATCTCTGTAGCTTAACAAAGAGAAAGTTCAGGGGTGACTTGACCACGGTCTATAGACAGCTACGCAGGGGGAACAAATATTTGATAATGGGCTCTGTGGTCTAGCAGTCGAAGGTCTAACGCAAGCCAGTGGCTGGACGCTGAAGCTAGACATGTTCAGACTGGAAAGAAGGTGTGCCTTTTGACAGTGAGAGTAATTAACCATTGAAAGCATTTACCAGGAGTGGTGGTGGATTCTCCATCACTGACAATTTTTCAGGCAAGATGGGATGGTTCTCTTAAAGGGCTGCTCTGGTACAAACTGGGATTGATTCTGGGCAGGTCTCGGGCCTGGACTACGCAGGAGGTCAGATTGCATGGGCCCTCCTGGCTGCACCCAGGTGGTCCCCCGGCTGAGGCTGGGACTCACCTCTGGTTGCACTCTGTGTCCCAGCAGGTGACGAAGCGGTAAAGCTGGAGCCGCAGGGGCCGTTCCTGAGAAGCTCTGTGAGGGCTGTAAAGCAGGAAACGCCGAAGCCACGCGTAGCAGGGATGCCGGAGCCGGAGGGGCCGTTCCTGAGAAGTGCTGTGAGGGCTGTAAAGCAGGAGATGCAGGAGCCAGGCGTAGCAGGGATGCTGGAACCGGAGGGGCCATTCCTGAGAAGCACAGTGAGGGCTGTAAAGCGGGAGACATTGGAGCCGGGGGGGCCGTTCCTGAGAAGCTCTGTGAGAGCTTTAAAGCAGGAGATGCCCAAGCCAGGCATAGCAGGGATGCCGGAGCCGGAGGGGCCGTTCCTGAGAAGTGCTGTGAGGGCTGTAAAGCAGGAGATGCCGGAGCCAGGCGTAGCAGGGATGCTGGAGCCAGAGGGGCCGTTCCTGAGAAGCACTGGAGAGAACATTCCCTGGATCCCGGAGCAGGGCAGAGCTGGCGGGAGCCAGCACCGGGCAGAGAGGAGGAACACTCCACGGAGGAGGCAGGGTAAGAACAGCTGCTATGACCCCCTGCCGGGGAGGCAAGGGGGCAGCCCCCTGCGGGACATCACTGTGCCCCAGAGCGCAGCTGCAGGGGTGCCACCCCACACGTGTGCCACCTGCGGAAAGAGTTTCAGCCGCCGCTCCAAGCTGAGCTCCCACCAGAGGAACCACACTGGAGACAAACCCCACAGCTGTGGGGACTGTGGGAAGGGCTTCCTGTGGCGCTCGGACCTGCTCCGGCACCAGCTCATGCACACGGGGGAGCGTCCCCACCACTGCTCCCAGTGTGGCCGTGGCTTCAGCCGAGCCTCGCGGCTTCTGCAGCATCAGAGAGTCCACATGGAAGCCAGCCATGGAACAGAGGGCAGCCCAGTGCCAAGTGTGCTGCAGGGAGTACACGGGGAGCCTGGCCATGGAGTGGGGCGGACCCCGGGGCTGAGCGAGGGCCAGAGAGTCCACGTGGAGCCTGGTCATGGAGTGGGACGGAGCCCAGGGCTGAATGTGGGGCTGGGAGTCCACTTGGAGCCCGGCCATGGGGTGGGGCAGAGCCCGGGGCTGAATGAGGGCCAGGGAGTCTACGTGGAGCCCAGCCACGGGATAGGGCAGAGCCCGGGGCTGAATGAGGGGCTGGGAGTACACACAGAGCCCGACCACGGAGTGGAGCGGAGCCCAGGGCTGAATGAGAGCCAGGGAGTCCACTCAGAGCCCGACCATGGAGTGGGGTGGAGCCCGGGGCTGAGTGAGGGGCAAGGAGTCCACGCGGAGCCTGGCCATGGAGTGGGGCGGAGCCTGGGGCTGAGTGAGGGGAAGGGAGTCCACGCGGAGCCTGGCCACGGAGTGGGGCAGAGCCTGGGGCTGAGTGAGGGGCAGGGAGTCCACGCGGAGCCTGGCCACGGAGTGGAGCAGAGCCTGGGGCTGAGTGAGGGGCAGGGAGTCCACGTGGAGCCTGGCAATGGAGCAGAGAGGACCTGGGCTCTGAGTACGCTGCACAGAAGCCATACAGAGCCTGCCCGTGGAGGGGAGGGCAATGTGGCACAGAGCCCAACCTTGTTTGCACTGCAGGGAGTCCATGGAGAGCCCTGTCATGGAGCGGGGTGGAGCCCGGTACTCACTACACTGCAGGGCATCCACGCAGAGCCTGGCCACAGAGTGGGGCGGAGCCTGGGGCTGCATGAGGGGCTGGGAGTCCATGCGGAGCCAGGCCACGGAGTGGGGCGGAGCCTGGGGCTGAGTGAGGGGGAGGGAGTCCACGTGGAGCCTGGCCATGGAGTGGGGCATAGCCCGGGGCTGAGTGAGGGGCAGAGAGTCCATGCGGAGCCCAACAATGGAGCAGAGAGGACCTGGGCTCTGACTACGCTGCAAGGAGTCCATGCAGAGCCCTGCCATGGGGCGGGGTGGAGCCCAGTGCTGACTACACTGCAGAGAAGCCACGCGGAGCCTGCCCATGGAGGGGAGGGCAATGCGGCACAGAGCCCAACCTTGTTTGCACTTCAGGGAGTCCACGGAGAACCCTGCCATGGAGCGGGGTGGAGCCCGGTGCTCACTACACTGCAGGGCATCCACGCAGAGCCGGGCAACGGAGTGGACTGGAGCCCGGTACTCACTACACTGCAGGGCGTCCACGGAGAGCCAGGCCATGGAGCAAGGTGGAGCCCAGTGCTAACTACACTGCAGGGCATCCATGTGGAACCCTGCCACGGAGCAGGGTGGAGCCCGGTGCTCACTACGCTGCAGGGTGTTCATGCAGAGCCAGGCCACGGACCGGGGTGGACCCC